ATTTTTGGTTACATGAAAGTTGGATACGGGGTTGAATATAACAAACATTTGTTTGATACCCAAAACAGAAAGGCCAACTAGGATGAAGGATCTAATTAGACCTATCAGTCTATGCAATGTAAGATATAAGATTATCTCTAAAGTCTTATGTCAGAAATTGAAGAGTTGTTTACCTTCACTTATCTCAGAAACACTGTCAGCTTTCATGTCTGGAAGATTGATTTCAGATAACATTCTTATTCAACATGAAATGTTTCATGGTTTAAGGACTAATAAGTCTTTCCAAAACAATTTTTATGGCAATTAGAACAGACATGAGTAAATCATATGACATGATAGAGTGAAAGTTTATTGCGACTTTATTTCACAAAATGGGTTTCGATCCTCACTGGATTCAATTAATGATGGAGTGTATATCATCAGTACAATATATTAAATGGTCAACCACTGGGCACATTTTACCACAGAGAGGGCTTCGATAAGGGGATCCGATATCCCCTTACTTATTCATCTTGTGCACAGAGGCTTTAATAGCTAATTTTAAGAAAGTGAGGAGGGAGAAACAATGGACTGGTTTGAAGGTTGCAAGGGCCTGACCACTGATCTCTTACTTGCTCTATGAAGATGATAGTCTTTTTTCTGTAGAGCACAAACAGAGGTGTGTCAAACCATTCTTAGGATATTCAAGGACTATGAGTCAGTTTCTGGACAGCTGATCAATTTTTAAAAAATCATCTATTCAATTTGGCCACAGGATAGAGGAAACACAAAGGCAAATATTAAGAGACATTTTAGGGATCCAGAATAGAGGCAGGATGGGATCGTATTTAGGCATACCTGAAAGCTTGGGAGGATCGAAAACGCAAGTTTTTGGTTTGTGCAGGAAAGACTTAATAATCGATTCAATGGATGGACTTTCAAGTTTTTTACCAAAGGAGGAAAGGAAGTGATTATTAAGACAGTGGTGACGGCTCTACCTAATCATATCATGTCATGCTATCGGATACCCAAGAAAGTGACACAAAAGTTGACGAGTGCAGTATCACAATTTTGGTTGAGTCCACGAGGAAGTAAGAGAGGTATGCATTGGCAAATCTTGGGACAAGTTATGTATGCCAAAGGACGAAGGAGGCTTAGGATTTAAAGATATCATAGATTTCAATGCGGCTATGTTTGCAAAGCAAATGTGGCGACTGACTGAAAAACCGAATACCCTATTTTCTAGAGTATATAAATGGCGGTATTTCAGGAATACTTCACCAATGGAACCGGTTAGATCATACTCACCATCATATGGTTGGCGCATTATGACTTCCGCTAGATCTCTAGTTAGTAAAGGACTAATCAAAATGGTGGGAACATGAGCATCCGTATCTGTATGGAATGATCCTTGACTCCCAACCACTCGCCCGAGACCAGCATAAAACAATCAACAAAATTTTCTCCCGGACCTTACAGTGGATTCCCTCATCAACCCCATCTTGCTACATAGAATTTACAGAGTATACCTCTAAGTCGGACACAAGAGAATGATAGAGAGGACTGACATTTTACAAATAATAGAAAATATAAGGTTAAATCTGGATACCAGATGGAGAGGATATACCCAGACAAGGAAAAACCACCAGCAATGTACGGACCTACGATTGATGCTCTTAAGGCATTCTGCTGGAAAGTTCGATGTCCACCGAAGATCAAATATTTTTTATGGCAAATCGTCTCAGGGTACATAGCGGTCAAGAAAAATTTAAACGGAAGCGGAATAAAAGCTGACATATGTAGTGCTCATTGTGGTGACCAAGAGGAATCAGTTAACCATGTTTTTTTCAATGAACGAATAATATAAATACAAATACTACCGTATAAATTAGGGTTGAGACTTAATATCCGCTATCCCTATCCGATCGGGATCCGCTCCGATCCGCTCCAAAAAAACGGATACCCGGGGGAGGGGGTCCGGATCCGGATAGTGATTTTACGGATCCGACGAATCCGGATACGAATCCGGATAGTAAAATTTTTAGTTCGGATACCGGATCCAGATTCGGATCCACTAAATATTTTTAAAATATTTAAATTATCTAAAATATAATTATATTTATATAGGTGTATTATATATTTTTAATTTAAAATAATAACTTAATTTTATGATTAAATTATTTTATTTTATTTTAACCTTTTGAAAAATAATAATTTTTAATTGGAAGGAACAAAAAATTAATTTTTAAATTTTAATTTAATTTTATTTTATTTTTTTAAAAACGGATCCGGATATCCGCGGATATTCGAGTTTTAGTACGGATTTCCGGAGGGTCCGAATCTAGATAGCAGTTTAAGGATCCGACGAATCCGAATCCGGATTAGGATATCTCAAAATACCCCGTATATCCGATCCATCCCACTCCTAGTATAAATACTTCAACTTACAATTATAATACAAAATTACAATTATATATGTAATTCAAAAATTACAAAATTACAATAAACTTGCTAATATTTTATATTGTATACTTTTTGAGATTTCTTATTTTGATCATTTAATTAAATAAATCGGAGAAGTGAAAAGGAAAAGGAAGAGACCATTTAGTTACAAATTAAAGATCAATTCCTAAAAAATGAGAAAGACAATAAAATGACTATTTAAGAGATGACACATGTCATCATTTGCTCATTCCTCAAAGAAGTGATGTGTCTCTCTCTATGAAAAGAGTCTTCTAAATGGATCTGAAAAGGGAGGAACAACAGGACCTTTTAGTGACATTGATATTGATCCCAAAGATATCCTCGAACTGGCGGAAACGAAATCACTTCTTTGGGCCGAGGCACAATTGACACTTACGCAACAGATACCCCAAAGATCAGAGGTTACAACTTTACCACAGATTCTTGGCAGATGGTGTTTTATAGATGGGTCATGGAAGGACAAAGACCTATTTTTAGGACACGGCTGGTATAGTACCCGCCTTGAGGGTTTCAATGGTTTATTGGGGGCAAGAAATACCCGAGCTAGTCTTTCCCCACTTCACTCTGAAATAGAGACACTTATCTGGGCAATTGAATGTATGAGGAATTTACGTCAATATAGAGTCACATTTGCAACAGCTTGCTCTTAACTGGTGAATATGGTTTCGAAACCAGAAGAATTGCCAGCATTTATAAGCTATTTAGAAGATATCAAGATCTTGAGAAATAGTTTTCACTCCTCCGAGCTTCTCAATATACCTAGATTGATGAATTCACTAGCGGATAGCCTTGTACGAAGTGTTAGGAAACAACCGACCTTCGTCGTCCGTATGGATACAGAACTTTCCGATTGGTTTGCAGAATTAGCATGAGTGTGTTTTGTTGATGAGCAAAAAAAAAATATCTAAAATTATGGAAAAAAAAAATGATAACTAAATAGAACAAGCTAAATATATGGAGAATATAACAACTAAGTAAATTTACACTTTAAATAATATAGATGAGAAAATAATCTATTAATATAAGTTTAAGTACACTGTTTGAGTCATACCTAATGAACCAAAACAAACTTAAATATAATTTTAATAATTTCATTTTAGCGACATTTACTTTATATAACGTTGCTACTACAGACAAAGCAAAGGGATACTCATGATAGCAGTAGAATTTATTAGCAATCGTTTTCTAGTGCATTGCTTTTTGGTATTGGTTGACAATTATTTTGACATTTGATCTTCAATATTTTAAATTAACATGAACTGGTACTTTCAAAGAAATAATATATATATATATATATATATATATATATATATATATATATAATTTGGAAACTGATATTTAAATATTAAAAATAAGAGAAAATTGATTTTTAGCCAAAAAAACATGTATATTATCTAATTAGGCTAATCTCAATCTATAATTGTCCTATTAGTATATTTTTCCAAAATGTTAGAATCGAAAATATAAGCTAACTAATATCTTCAATATGGAAATTAATTGTGAAATATAAAAATATAAAACTAAATATCAAATATAGAAATAAAATTTAAAATATAAAAATTAAAACTAATTGTCAAATATAAAAATATAAGTTAATAGTTAAACTAATTAATATCTCCAATATGGAAACTAATGATCAAATATAAATAAATAAAACTAAATATCAAATATAAAAGACAGTATAAAAAATATAAAAATAAAAAGTAGTTGTCAAATACAAAAAAAAAAAATTGTCAAATATAAAACATAAGTTTAATTAATATTTCAAATATGGAAACTAATTAAACTAATTGTCAAGTATAAAAATATAAGTTAATAATTCGTTTTATTTTCAAATATGTAAAATGAATATTGATAAATATATTCGGAAATGTTCATACTTCTTTGTAGAATTTTCATTCTACTATATATATAGGAAATATAAAACATGTTTAAATCAATTTCTAATGATTTTAGATTTCTGAATAATATTCTGATTATATGTTCTACATGTCTTAGAGCGATAAATTAAACGTAAAAGTGTATTCCAAATATTTTTAGATTACTTCATTGTACGAAGATGATGTATTCTAACATTAGCAGAGTTAATGAAAAAAACGTAGATTTCATTTTCTACTTCATAAAATATCAATTTTGTTTTCTGCAAAGTAAAATTTGAAATTTCTATTTAAACGTTTTATTGACAAAAATACATCTAATTTAATTTAGGTATATCACCAGTAGTTCCAATTTTTTTAAATTAGTTTTGTTTGTAAAACTATTTATTTAAATTATTTTTAATAGAAAATATATTATAGGCAAAAATGATACAAATATAGAATTAGCATAATGAGACAATGTATACCTGTTTATTTGGCCTAAAAAAAATAATTTTCTGAAAAATTAATAGTTTTTGCCGTTTAGCAATTACGATATGCCCTGTTAAAAATGCTTGACCAATGACCATGAAATCCGCTAAAACTACATCTAAAACAGAACTTTCTAAACACGAGTTGTGAAAACTACTTATAGCAATGTAACGAGTAAATAGAAGATCTCGAAGAAGTAAAGCTATAGTTAACCTGATGGACCATCAAATTGTATTCTTACAGTGAGTATTTCGAAAGCAAAAGGCTCCTACTGTCTTAATTGCAATAATACCTAAACGTCTAAATAGAATAGTGAACAATCGGATTCATCTTTCCCTATTTTCGTATTCCCAAACCTGTAGTTAGTTAAACCAAGAGTCGCTTCCTCCATAAACTGCACAATAACCAAAGAAAATCCTATCATATGTACCCACGCACTGGTAAAAAAGAGCTCTCATCAATCCGCCATAAACAGATAGTTCAAGTCCTCCACGGTGAGGTGAGACTGTCTGCTTCCTTTTTCATCTTCACCAAATGCAGAGGCTACCATCATTCTCTTCTTTTGCTGCATTGACAAAACTTGCTCAGAGATCAAATGCGAAAAAATGGCTTGAAAAGCTTATTGAGATATGAACTAATTCCACATACCTGAAGGGCTAATATGCGATCCTCAACTGTATCTTTTACTGTGAATCGAACCACTGTTACTGGTCGTGTCTGTCCTATTCGATGTGCTCTATCGATAGCTTGATCCTCCGTTGTTGGGTTCCACCACAGGTCTAGCATTAGAACATGACACGCTGCTACCATGTTCAGTCCGAGACTAGCAGCCTTGAGTGACATGATCATTACAGTAATCTACAAAGCAACACAGAAAAGAAAAAAAGTCAATCAATCAACATATCATCATGTCTTCGCATATTATAAACAAGGAAGCGAACCCAAGACTTCAAGATTCCATTATTGGCTATTTACCTCAGGGAGAGTGTTGAAATCCTGCACTGCTTTATCTCGGGCAGCAACTGACATTGTTCCATCGAGCCTTCTATACTGAATACGCGAACTTATCAGAGAAGCTTCAAGTAGGTCCAACATCTTTGTCCACTGAGAGAAAACAATGGCTTTTTCTCCAACAACCTTGACTGGAGTTACAGGAAGACTGGAGTCCTCTCCCTTTTGAGAGATCTGCTTCATATCTGTCACATCCTGCGGTCTGGCAAGTGATTGTAAGATCTCTAGAGCAGCCTTGATTTTAGACGACTCATATGGAGAATCTTCAGAAGAAGGGTCAACAGTCTCAACATTAACTGAAGTGGCACTATCATGCATGGAAGGCATAGCAGAGAGTCGACGATTGCAGTTTGCAATCGGGCATTGATGATCATCGCCCGTAAGGCACTCATAAAAGCACTGCTTACAGAAAACGTGACCACAGACTGACACAACAGCATCCTCAGGTGAATCCTGCGATTAAAGTAGAGAGAGAGATTTAGAACTGTTAGTTGATATATTATGCTTTCGCAACAACAGATAAGATAAACAACTCACGGATCTGCACAATGATTTTTAACATTCATCAGGAAATTCAAAAGAAAAAATATTCTGATAATTTTCTAGACAAAAGAATCTTACATTGCAGAATCCACAAATTTGTAATGAAGCTTCTGAGGAATTCTCCTTCTTGACTAATCCGAGCGAGGATTCCCAAGTAAAACTGTATTCACCTTTAACGAGAAGAGGGTGATCACAAGCTTGACGAAGGCGCAAGAGCATCAACAATATATTCACATAATTTTGCTTCACTGTCCCGGCTTCTTTATATTCCTGATAATAAAAAATTAAAAGAGAACTTCAAACATCGATATGCAGAAGTACATTTTCAAGTGCATAACAACACACATTTACTCATATTATTACGAAAATTTAAAACAAAAACGTAGTGCACATAAGGGTATATAGGGTCCACAGACATACCTGGAATTGATTACGAGATTCCTTCTCTATGTTGGAGTAGAAATCACGTTCCTCGTCAGTGAAATCCACTTTTCTCAATTCAATGGACTTCGGAGGTAAACAGATTATGGGTTTCCCGTCAATAAATGAACCTAATGTGTTAACCAGTTAAAAACCATTTAAGACAACCTTAGATGAACAATTAAAGCAATTTAGCTACAATATGAGTAGACTGACCTTTAGTTCGGCGAAGCATCACTGTTTTAAGGATAGCCTGCAGCTTTTGATATCCTTTCACCGGGGTCTTAGCTACAGGGTTCTTAATTGAGTTGCAGAACAAAACGTAGGAAGAATAAGGATCATATTTGAGAAACCGGAAGTAGCTGTAGAGATCATCGATCGAATTTTGGATTGGAGTACCAGACAAACACCACCTCCGCTTAGCACGAAGGCCCCAGCATGCTCTTGCAACTTGGGTTTTGTGATTCTTAATGCTCTGTGCCTCATCCAGAACAACTCTGAACCAGGAAACTTTCGCAAGAGGGCCCGACTGAGCCTCAACCAATGCGCGATCTAGACGTTTCTTCTTCTTTGATCCCTTCTTTTGAGAATCGGGAGGATATTTCCTTTTCTTGTTTGGGCAGAGGCCAGCAGCTGCACCTTCACCACTATTTAAATCATCCTTCTCTTCATCCTCATCATCAACAAGTGGCTGCTTTGGCACTTCCATGCTCACGATAGAATATGTAGTAACCACAACATCATATTTAGCCAGCTCATGAGGATCCTTTGTTCTGCTGGCCCCATGGTATACAAGTACAGTGAGATTCGCTTCACTAGTCACCTTCTTACGTAATTCATCACCCCACTGTCGCATAACACTCGTGGGACAGACAACAAGCGTTCCAGCAGCTGGCCTTCCCCTCACCTTATCCACACTATTTCCATTTTGTTCATTAGGTTTTGAGGACGCACATTCTCCACCCTCGCTTTCTAAGTCAAAAAATTCTTTCTTCTTCTCTTCACATGCTCGGGAAGGTGTAGACCGTTCCTTTAGAATAAGTGCTATAGTGGAAATTGTCTTCCCAAGTCCCTGCAAAAGATAATTATTCCAGGATTTACAAAAATATTTAAGAAATTTGACAGAATTTAAGATACATGCCTGTTAACCACTGACATGAAAAAGATTACAACAGAAGACAATAACCTGATCATCAGCAAGAATTCCTCCCGAACAGGGTAAGCCAGTTGTCTCCTTATTGGCCATCCATGACAATGCAATTCGCTGTCCAGGAGTAAGAATTAAGAAACAGTCAAGTATATATCTATTAACATTAGCCACTGTTTTCACATCGTACACGAGGCCTTTAATTTATCCACGTGTGTTTTGGACATCTACAGGGAGGTTATTGAATTTTGATATTTTCGTACATACCTGATGTTTCATAAGGGGAACTGCCAAGACACCATCAGGAAGACTTGCTTCAGCATTAGGCAGAGATAGATCCTGTCATATCCAGACAATGTCAGTAGCCTAATGAGTCTGAGGTAAACCCAAGAATAAAGATTAATATGGAACTGTCATTAATTGCATTCTCGCGACACATCCAAATAACTGAAGACCATAAAAGAAACCTCAATAAATAATATCTCCATGCGCAGCTAAATAATGTCCAGAGTTGCGGACAGTATTTTTCAATAGAAATAAATATATAGTTAGTGCCTATGAGAGAGTCAAACAGAATCAACAGCTGCTATAACCTGCAATGCAGCTTGAACCATCATGTTTTCTTTGCTTGGCTGCCTCGTGCCTCCAGGTTGATTTAAAGTCTGACCAACTGAAGAATGTTGTGAAGAAACCACCGGAATTTTCATAGGTAGAGGTCGATATGGGTTTGCCGGTTGACAATTAGTTTCTATTATGCAGACGTCCGAATCATCATCACTATCAGATATACATTCTGAAGAAAGACTTTGAACTGATTCAAAGCTGCCATTTGAGAAGTTATAATCAATGGTCCTTGGTTGAATACGTTCATGGTTTCCATGATGTGTCAGAGAGTCTAAATACCCATTGATCTGTGTCGCTGGGCTCGGATCTGCTGCAACATATTGCAAACATGCATTTGAATCATAAAGTTTACTGGAATTGCCAAAGTCTTGACTAGGGAAACTAGTTTGCTGTGCCATAAATGCAAATCCTTCCTCGATATCTGTTTGATAGGAGACTGAACAGCCAGATGCACCAGTCCACCAATGACTGGTTTCCCCAGGTGCATAAACAGAGTCCATAACACTTTCTTCCTTTGGAACTGAACTGTAAATCACATTCTCTGACTCAGCCTCTGGCTTAACCTTCAGAGGGGCAACGTCATTATCAGCTAAGTGACTGTCAAAACTATTGTACGGTTTGGCACAGGGAAGAGGAACTGAGGGATTACTTTCACACTTGAAACCGATCCCTCTTGCACTAGAGAAATCAACAACAGGTTCCCTGTCTAAATATCCGTAATCTACTCTCCCGTGTCTATCAAAAACCATCAGGCTGGCACCATCCGACTGACACTCACTTACTCCACTGTCAACATCATTTACAGCTTCTTCTTTGTTGGGAAAGAACTGAAACGCGTAACTGGGGGTATGTTCTGATAAGGATGCACCACTTGTATTGTAACAATTATCCGCACCGTTACCGAGAGTATTGGAATTATAACAAAAACCAGACATGGCGGAGGAATTATGTGTAACTCCCATCCCTGCTCCATATCCATGAACTTCCTCTATATACGCTGTGGGGCTGCACGATGCCACTGTGTAACATCAATGAGGAATATGGAAGTTAACAACAGACAGATTAGAGTGGACATTAATAAAAAAGTAGCCCGAAAGTTTAGTGGATAAAGGTGCATACATTTGGTGTCAGTTGTTCTGTACTCCTGCTTGGAAAAAGTGTCAACTTCACAATTCACAGGATTGAAGGAGACGTTGGCACCATGGTCTCTGTCGACGGAACCAGAGGATACACTACCACTAGTCATCTCAGATTGAGCTACGCCATAAGTTTCGACAGGCTTCTCATCCTGGCTCACTGAAAACCAATCTTTAAGACTCGCAGAGCAAGTGCGAGCAGGTGATGGAGTAAGGCCAGATTCAAGTTTCACATGGTCATCAAATGTCCCAGAAGGCGAAGCTCTTAAGCTATATGAATCCCGAGAAGGTAACCAATCAACTGTCTGAGTTCCTGACGAAAGAAACCACCAATAAAAAAGTTAATGCAAATGGCACTCAAAGCAGCTTAAGAAGTATACGAAACATAGAAGTAGCGAAATACCATTTTGCGAGTGTGAATTCTTGAGCTCGTCAGGAGAAGAAGCAGCTGGAGATGAATTATCTTGGCTACCCTAAAATTTTAGTTCCAATCAAATCCTTTAGTCATTCAAATCAATACACAAAAGTCAATGTTACTCAATACACATATATTTACAACAAAAACAATCAATTGAATTTGAAGTCTAGAATCAATCTGTAAATCGAAATCCTCACCTCAGCAGAATCAGGCTTCTCATCAAGAATCCGGTAAATGGTTTCGATGTCAATAGTGAGATCCTCATCGTCGTCTTCAAACTCAAAACCACCATTAAAATCATCAGGAGGAAACCCATCGCCCACGGCGAACACTGGACCCTCTTCACCCATCACAAACACAAACAAACCCTAATCCGAGAGCGAAAAAGGGGGAAAAACAAACCCTAAATCGGAAATCAACAATCAATCAATCAATCGGAATTATCCTTCCTGGAGAAAGGAACCCAGTCAATCGTAATAACCGACGAAACGAGTAGATCTAGAGGATTTAAATTCGAAAAATTTGGGAAGACGAAGGTCACGGGATATTTCGAGGAAAGGTAGAGAGAGCAGTTGGGGTTGGAGACGCGACGGTGGTGGTTGCCTTCTTATTTGGCTTTCTCTCAATTGGAAAAGTTAAAGGAAGACTTCTTCACACTTAAATAAGGAACGGTCCAGCAAATCTTCTTCTTTTTTTCTTTTTCTTTTTTTCTTTTGTTTACATTTTGTTATTTTTTATTTTATTAATGCATATTGCTTTTTGCATGGTTAAATATTATATGCGCCGTCATCCTTTTTCTCTCTTTAAGTGTTTTGTTTTCCTCGTTTATTGCTAAAGCAAATTTGGTGACAAAATTAATCAAACAAAATTATCGAAGTTTGACGTTAAAAAACGAAAGAGAAAAATAAAGTGTTCAAGTTATGGAGGTCTAAAAGAAAAGGTTATGGAGGTCTATTTTAATGGTTCTGTGACCATATTCTAAGACTATATATGGTGTGAATCAATTTATTTGTGTGGGAAAGGGTTACTTGATTTAAACAATCAAGTATTTTATTACTTGCTGAACATATGAAAAAGTACTTAAACTCAAAGAAGAAAACAAACTTCATGATTTTTAATAGTTAGAAGAAATTGCTTAGATAGGTCTGAAACTGCTCAGACATTTACCGATTTAGCGTGTTTATTAGAAAAGTATACAGTATTTGACTATTTGGGGGGGGGGGGGGGCTCTGATAACAACGTGGGTTGTAAAACAATGTTTTCCAGTTTTAGAATAACCAAACCAAGAAACCGAGTCCCTTAGAAGTATAAACCGGATCGGTTCATGGACGGTTCGTCAAGCATATCCTCTGAAGATTTTCCTAGGCAATCTAGAAGCAAACAAGATCCCCAAAATCTCCGTCTTGTTTCGCCAAATTCTCCTCTTATCCAGGTACTCTATCCCGCATAATTCTATTCGATTTCCCTGGAACCGCTCTTTCTTACAAAACTTAATCGCAAAAGAGAACTGAAATTACTCTGTATTTTTCCAGGTAAGAAGTTGTATTGAGTGGATTAGATTCAATATGAGACACACACTGGTCTTCTAATGTGGATCTTCGTTAATCAGATTTGAAGAAGACGACCAAGAAAAGAAATGGTATATAGACTCCTTCTTCTTCTTCTTCTTTGATCCAACTTTGACTTAATGATGATGTATTTTAAATTAAAACTCTTTTCCTACTGACTGATAAAGGCAACTTCGAAGAAAGTGATCACACGTGAAGAATGGGAGAAGAAGCTGAACGCTGTCAAGCTCAGGAAAGAAGACATGAACACTCTCGTCATGAATTTCCTCGTCACTGAAGGTTTTGTTGAAGCTGCTGACAAATTCCAAAGAGAGTCTGGAACCAAACGTATCCTTTTCTTTCTTTTGTGTGATTTTCACTTGTGTTTAGTTAAAGTTTCTTTCTTCCTTAATGGAGAAACAGCAGAGATAGATCTTGCAACCATCACTGATCGAATGGCTGTTAAAAAAGCTGTTCAAAACGGTAACGTCGAGGATGCTATTGAGAAAGTTAATGACTTGAATCCTGAGGTCATACATTCAATCAATGCCTTGTCTCTTCTTTGTTTGATCATGAATCAGAATCTGATCCTTTTTTTTGGTTGCAGATTCTTGACACAAATCCGGAACTCTTCTTTCATCTCCAGCAGCAAAGGCTGATTGAACTTATTCGGCAAGGGAAGACTGACGAAGCCTTGGAGTTTGCTCAGGAGGAACTTGCACCACGTGGCGAAGAAAACGTAAACTCTCTCTCTCTCTCTCTCTCTCTCTCTCACTCTCTCTCTCTCTGTGTAATAAACTCTTCTTGTGGATGCCTGAAACAACATTCATAGGGTATTTGTTGATTCTTTATGCAGCAAGCGTTTCTGCAAGAACTGGAAAAAACGGTAGCCTTGCTTGTTTTTGAAGATGCTTCTAACTGCCCTGTTAAAGATCTTCTTGACGTTTCCCACCGTCTTAAGACAGCAAGTGAAGTGAATGCAGCAATTCTCACAAGCCAGAGTCATGAAAAAGGTAACTTTCGATGTTGTGATACTGGTTCTGTTTTGGTATCCACACCATCACTAACATTTAGATTATTTCATTCATTCCTTCAATTAGCCACATGCATCATTCTTGTCAACGGTTGACGTACTGACTTTATGTTTGTGAACAAACAGATCCCAAACTTCCAAGCTTGTTGAAGATGCTTATCTGGGCTCAGAACCAGCTGGATGAGAAAGCAGTGTATCCGCACATCAATGATCTGTCTACTGGACTGCTCCAAGACCCGTCAGAATAACTGCAAAAGGGAACAATCAATGGTGTCCTCTCCAATTTCAATCTCAATAAGTCAATATTCATTTGCTTTTAGCGAATGCTTTCCCTTTTTCTCCTGCGTTGGGATGGAACTGTTTAGGATGTGTGGAGGGGAACATGAAAGCTGTTTGTAGGCAATGAAATACTCTAGTCAACATATTCCATGACTCATTGCATGTGTCCATTGGATATGAATGAACCTTTCCTTGTTTGGATCTATATGAGTTTGTTTTGAGGAATTTGTGTTCTGTAAGGTCCGAATTTGTAAACAGGTAGAGAGGGCTTGTTGCTCTTGACATGTGAGATGGATCAATAAATCACATGTATAGTCCTGTTCTTCTGGTACTGACAGCTTTGAGTCTTACGATAATTTACCGATGTGGCACATGATACAGTTTAAGGATCATCTAAATACACTATTTACCCCACATCGGTAAATTATATATCGATGAAAGGTATATAAGCAGTGGCGTATTATAGCAGTTCAGCAATTGGTCGGGGGACTGGAGTTCATGAGTTGGGTTGTTGGAGGCTGGGCTTAGAACCTCGAAAGGTTGAGGCACCGTCTTTAGCAGGCTGAACATGGGCCAACCCTTCCTCTAACCTATTGGTTTTCCGTTTTTAGTGATCGAAAATTTTATTTTTACTTTTTTTTTTATCGTTTAATTATCTTCTTATTCGAATTTTATTTGATGGGTTTTCTGTTTTTAGTGAATCGAAAATTTTATTTTTACCATTTTTTATTGTTTAGTTATCTTCTTATTCGAATTTTATTTGTGGATTGTTCATTGTTAAATCCTTTTATTCTTTTTTTCAAAATGATTTTCTAAATCTTCTATTGTTATACACTTATTATTTTCTAATTCTTTTATTTATTCGTTTAATTCTCTTATTTCCTCTAATTGCTTATTATTTAATTGTTTGTAATTTTTAATCATTTCTTCAAGTGTTTTTATTTTGCATTTCCAATATTTCTAAATCATTATCCTGTTTTTCTTCTATTTTTTTGTATTTTTTCTAGTATTATTTTTATTTGATCTACAAGTTTTTCTGTCATAATTTTTTGATTAATCTATCAGTAGTTTCTCTAAGGTTTTTTATTGTTATTAATACGTCATCCAATCCTTGTAATTTATCTAGTTCATCTAGTATTTGTATATTATTTTCTATTTCAGAGATATTTTTTTGTATTTCTTTAATATTTTTAGTTAAATCTATAGTCTTATCTAATTTTTCTTGCACTATTCTGTTCATTCTAATATGGTTTATTGATATATTAGCAATTATCTTGTTTTGGTTGTTTAATATTCCTCATATTATTCTTAAAGAATGACTCATTTTATGATCTTATCTTATGTTTGCTCCCATCGTATACTCCGTGTTTTCCATCATATTTCTTTCTAATGGTATAATTTTTTTTCTTTATATGGTATTCCTAGTATAGAGTATAACTCTGAGTGATATTCGATAGTTTGATCTATAAATTCATCCATTTTTTACAAATTTATTAGTTCTTCCGTTATCTTAATTTCTTGAATTTTTGTGTTTATTAATTTTCCTTCCTCTTCTGAGTATTCTAATGCTCGTTCTTTATTCTTATTTATGGCTGCACATAATAATTTTAGATGCTCTCGTTTTTGTTCATTAATTTTTTTTCAAATTTCTTATTATCTTTTATGGGTCTTGATGGCTCTGATTCAGACTCTGTTTTTTCATAGTTTATTATCTAACATTGTTATAGTTCTATCTAATTTATTTATTTTGTGATTAATTTCTAGTAACTCATATGAACTACAAACTCATTTTCTTCTTTCGTTGTAGGTCTTGTTTCTAGTTATTCTTGATCCACTAGAGTTGTGTTCCAAGAATTTTAATTGTGGGGTATGTGTTTTATTTATTTGGTTGCTTATATTTTTCTTTGGTATAAACTTAAAAGTGCTTATTTCCTTAAACAAGTTTTCAAGATATATAACATTCTTGTTTGCAAATTTAATACTATTTGCAGACGAAGATAAAGCGTATCCAACAACATACGTAATTGATAGCGGATGATCTCCGTCTCCCATAAGATCATGTCTTTAGAAATCATAGATGATTCCGATTAAGTTGTTAAGGTTTTTTTGTTGTTAATGGAATGCCATATTAACAAACCACGTTAAATTTTACAACCGAGTGTTTTAAATTGCTATCTGCTATTCCAATTATTTTATCGTTTTCGTCTTGAATTCTGTTGCCAGTTACTACTAGTCTAATTGGAGAATCAATGTTCTTTTTAAATGTCAATCTTACTAATATTTGGATTGTTCCTATGTGTATATATGATATTTTTTCTTGATGACTTGGTCTCATTTTACTTATTTTTTTTTTCATTTATGGCTTCAAATGAAATTATTGGTAGTGTAAATTCACCACGAGTTGATTCAATTGGTAAGACAAATTCTCGTATAAATTTTCCGAAGTATAATACATTTTTTTCTTTTTAGTATTTCTGATAATCTATTTCTATGTACATCTTGATCTTCTTTTAATGTTATTTTTGCTTCCTTTTCAAGGTTCTTGATTTTGGATCCTTGAATTAATAAGTCTTTTTCAAATAATTTATTTGTATCAATACTACTAATGTAATCTAATAAATTACTTTGTACTATATTCTGAGTTTCTTCGTTATCAGACATACCTGAAATGAATTATGGTTGAATTTTTGTGGGTTGTAACGGTCTCCTGTATTTGATTAAAGCTTCTCTGATTCTTGGGTGTTTGTAGTTTTTATGAGTTTTTGTCAAGTGGAAAACTGTTATTCAGAAGGTTTAAACCTTCAACAGTTAGAGTTTTTTCAGAGAAAGATTCTCAACTCTAGAAACTTGTTCGAATTTATTTCACTCTACCTCTACAAAGAGGTTTGCACACATATTTATATTACATGACAGACTCTTTTACATAGACGCGTGACTCATTTTTTGTCCACTCTTACAAAGATAATAATGTGAAATCCTATTTATCCACTTTATTTCTTTCTGATTTTACATCTTCACGTGGTTTCTGCCGGATATCACATCTTGTTGGGTGATTCTTCCATTATTGGTTCTTCAGTCTCTTCAATCACTTCATCTTCTGATTCTTCATCTCTGGTTCCGCAAATTGCACATGAATGTGGTTCTCCAAGCTTGACTTCAAACTGTGTTTTTCTGAGTAATTCACACATTAAATAATGATATTTTGGACATTTAATAGAAGTATTGTCCCATGTTCTGAAAACGAATGGGCTTGTGTCTTCTTTAATTGTTGTTTCTTCGGTTTCTCTGGTGAGTAATAACATCAAATCACTTTTATAATTAAGGCGGTTCGATTATTGCTTAAGTAAAGGATTTTCCTGAGCATTCCGATTGTTAGCTCGACGTCTACTCGAATTCTGTCTTCACTGGTGTATTCACTATTTGTTGGGTCATCCTTTTGTTGGGTATTGTTCATTGCTTATTCCCATGATAATTACTTTTTATGCCGGACAACTGACTCATGTTTCTCCTGTTTCTGTTACTCCGGGTAATTGTTGTAATACTGCATAAATACTTCTTTATTTTTGGCGTATCTGGTAAGGTACCGGGAAACAGCTGTTCTAAGGCCCTGGGGAAAATATTTTAGTTGTTGTTCGGGATTTTGGATGTATAGTGTTTCGATAAGTCCATAGCTGTGTAGGTTTATGGTGGTTATTGGGCTTGCTTCCGGTAGGACAATAGCTTTTGCGCCTATATCCTGATGGTTTTTTTGGTAGATGTGTTTGTATTTGGTATTTTCTGGATAGGTAGTTATTTCCTCAAAACTGGGTAGGTTTTATTTGGTCTTATACCTCCTTTGTTCAGTAATTGTTGCGATGGTTGGAATTTTTCCAATGGGTGTCATTTTATCGTTGGTTGCATACTTCCTCCCCCGCCGAGAAGCAGACGATTCTTGAATGAATTTTGGATCGATTTTTTTTTCTTGATTCCTCGAGGGCTTGCTTTGCTTCGTCGATTGTTAGGTAGCTCTTGTGAATAATGTTTCATCCTGTTATGAATTGGGCTGCTTTGTACCATTCGTCGTAGATTCCTTTCATGGGTCCGTTAAAGATGACATAGAATTTGTGGGGTTTTTTAGTGACTGGGCTTTTAGGTTGACTCTCTGGTAGGACTATAGTTTCTGTGTTTTGGTTTTGGCTTTTAGGTTTTAGGTTTTGGATAACTGATTCGAGTGAATTTATTTTTTCTTGAAGTTTTTTTAGGTTTTGTTTCTTCTGCTTGAGTTGATTCTCCAATGTTTTTATTGCTGCTTCCATAGTTTTTCTGAAATTGAAATGAGATATATGCCTTATGGCTGGTTATTTTATACGATATAATCTTTGTATCAAGAGTATTTATCAAATAACGATTGATACATTTATCATTGATAGATGATTATTAATGATAGTTTATAAATTCTCCTATTGATAAATATAATTGGTAAATATAATTGTTTATTTCGGGTTTTCATCTCTGAATTCCCTTGTTAATGAATCAGCGATTGAATTTAATTCTCCTTTTATGTATACTGGTACATATGAGTATTGTGATATTTGCATTTATCATCTTATTAGTCTTCCTTGGTTATAATTTGACTTTATATTATAATTTTGAAATCCAATCAAGTATTTTGAGTCAGTTCTTAGATAAAACGTGATTGGTCTTAAATCAGTCTGCCATTTTAAAATGTTTTTATAGATCCCAGTTTTTCTAATTCATGATTTTGGTATTTTTGTTGAGTATCAGTGAAAGTACCGCTATTATATTTTACTAGTTTCACTTGTTTTAATGAAGTCTTTTGAGTTATTAATTCTTTTATTCTCTCATTTTTTTCGGATTTTTTACCGCATAACGCCGTTAAAGTGGCTCCCCAATGTGTTATGCATGCGTCAGTAGAGACGATGAGTATATCATCGTCGCTTGGATTATATAATTCAGGTAATTTATTACACATCTCTTTTAATTTTTCAACGACCTTGCTATCTTCTTCGGTCCATTTCCAAGGAATTTTTTCAGATATTTGTTGTTGTAAAGATTTTCTCTGTTTTGCAAGATTTTTACAAAATCCTTGATCAGCTAAATAGTTTAGATTTTCAAGAAAGCGTTGTATTTGCTTTCTATCTTGTAAGTGGTTAGGAAATTGATTTATTTGTTCAAGTATGTGTTTTTGTGCGACAATTGTTCTGTTGCTATTTATTTACAGTCCTAAGAACTCTATTTTTTGTTTAAGTATTTGAGCTTTCTTTTGACTTAGCACTAGACCTTTTTATTTACATCTTTCAAGTATTTTATATACTTTTTCGAGATGATATTTTTCATTATGTTTTGTAAATATGATTATATCATCTATATATAATGAGCTAAATTTTTCGTATCCGGTTAAATTGTTATCCATAAATTGTTAAAATATTCCTGGAGCTTGTTTTAGTCCAAACGGT